AGATAAAGCAGAAAAGAAAAAAAAAAAGATTGGCAACAGTTGTTAGCCCAGGTGCCACTCTTAAAAAAAAAAAAAAGGAAGATTGGCAACAGTTGTTAGCCCAGGTGTCAATCTTAATAAAAAAAAAATGGGGCCGGTCTGGTGGTGCAGCGGTTAACTTCGCACGTTCCGCTTAGGCAGCCTGGGGTTCTCCGGTTAGGATCCTGGCTATGGACATGGCACCGCTCTGCAAGCCATGCTGTGGTAGGCGTCCCACATGTAAAGTACAGGAAGATGGGCACAGATGTTAGCTCAGGGCCAGTCTTCCTCAGCGAAAAGAGGAGGATTGGCAGCAGTGAGCTCAGGGCTAACCTTCCTCAAAAAAAAAATGTATAAAATGACCTACTACAAAGCTACAGTAATCAAAACTATGGTACTGGTATAAAGACAGACATAAGACCAATGGACTATAATACAGAGTTGAGAAATAAACCTTCACATATATGGTCAAATGATTTTCAACAAAGGTATCAAGACCATTCAATAAGGAAAAGATAGTCTTTTCAACAAATGGTGATGGGAAAACTGGATATCCACATGCAAAAGAATGAATATGGGACCCTGACCTAACTCTACACACAAAAATTAACTCAAAATGGATCAAGACCCAAATTTAAGCAATAAAACTATAAAACTCTTCAAAGAGTTTCTGTTTGGGGTGTTGAAAAAGTTCTAGAGATGAATAAGTACATTCTCAACAACAGGAAGATACTTAACGCCATCAAATTGTATACTTAAAAATAGTTAAAGGGTAAATTTTATGTATATTGCAGTTTACCACAATAAAGAAATGTATAAAATGAGTAAGTACATAAAATTGACCCCTCTGTTTGCGTCCTAGATTTCTCCTTTCTGATTCTTGAACAGTTATTCCTGTATGTATCCACTACTTCATTATGTCTCCTCAGTAGCTAGCACTCCTTCTTCAAGAGCTCTTTCTCTCTGCCTTTAAACTTGGAGTCATTAGCCTTCATTTTCTCCTCTATGCAGATGGTCCTGAAATGTACATTTCTAGTCCTGATGGCTCCAATGCCTCATTCAGTATTTCCATTTAAATTTCCTTTGCCACCTCTAACTCAAATGTTCCAAACAGAACACCTTAGTCTCTTTGATTTCACCTTTCTTTGCAAATTCATTATAGCACCACCATTTCTCTAGTTACTTAAAGTTAAAAATAGTACCCTTCTAAACTCCTAGGTCCTTTTTTCATATCACTCTGTCATTCATAGCACTTTTGACAAGCTATCATTATGACAAACTGGTTTTAATACTTTATCATATTCACAACAATCCCATTGAGGAGGTATCCTTTTATTATTATGCTCTCCATTTTATAAAGGAGAAACTGAGCCCTAAGAGTGTTTAAGTGTCTTGCTCCTGGTCATGACACTAAACAAGAGAATAAGACTAGAATCTACTATATCACATTTGCCTTGCATAATGAAAAAATTTAAAAAACACATCCCTACACATATTTGTCTCAAAGAAATGAAGTTGATTCAGAAATGCTAAATGCCTCAGAAACTATCTTTGACAAATCAGTATGTGATCAATAAGCCATAGGCTTCAGATATTCCTCCCAGTGATATGGGGAGGATAAAAGAAGACAAAAAGATACACTGTAAAATACCTGAAAAATCATGCTAGGTATATTCCATCCATTACCACTATTCTAGAGGCATCACTTACACCAGATTACATTGATGGTGATCAACTCAAACTACTAACTAGAGCCTTCTCACCCAGCAATAAGAAGAATCCCACGGTAACCTTATACCCTATCAGTCAGGTAACACTTAGAGTGTAAAGACCGTATCTTCTTGATCTCTGCAGACCTACCACTTAGTACAGTGACTGCAACATGTTAGATATACAATATTGTTTATTCAAGAATGAAGGAAGATGAAAAATGCAAAGATACCATAAGAGAGCACTTTACCTTGGCCTCTTCTTGATCATCCAGGGAAAACTCCATCAATTCATCTGAAAACTCCTCTGTCTGGTCTTCTAGTTCTGGATTTTTATCCAGTTTTGGAACTCTAGTAATGGGGCTGCCCAGATATTTCATTTCATTTTCCACCAAGTTTCCATTGTCCTGTCAAGTATACTGACTATTAAAAACTACCCAGGACCTTTACCTTATACCATATACAAAAATTAACTCAAAATGAATCAAAGACCTAAATGTAAGAGCTAAAACTATAAAACTATCAGAAGAAAATATTGGGGGAAAGTTTCATGACATTGGATTTGGCAACAATTTCTACACAGGCAACAAAAGAAAAAATGGATAAATTGGACTTCATCAAAATTAAAAACCTTTGTGCATCAACGAATACTATCAACAAAGTGAAAAGGCAACCCTCAGAATGGGTGAAAATATTAGCAAATCATATATCTGATAAGGAATTAATATCAAGAATATGTAAAGAACTCCTATGACTCAACAACAGAAACAAACAGGACTTGAACAGACATTTCTCCCAAGAAGATATACAAATGGCCAATTAGCCCATGAAAAAATGGACACATAACTTGTAGTCATTTTGTTGTTGCTAGTGCCATTGAGTTGATTCCAACTCCTAGTGATCATGGGTACAGCAGAGTGGAACCCTGCCCTGTCTTTTTGCACTATCCTCTCATCTTCAGGCGCTATATCAAGCAATGCCCCGCTACTATTCATAGGGTTTTTGTGGCCAATTTTTTCGGAAGTGGGTGGCTAGGTCCTTCTTCCTAGTCTGTAAGCTCCACTGAAAACCTGACCACCATGGGTGACGCTGCTGGTATTTGAAATACTGGTGGCATAGCTTTCAGCATCCCAGCAACATGCAGCTGCTACAGTATGACAACCAACAGTTGGCTGGTGTGGTTCCCTGACTGGGAAACGAACCCTGGGTGCAGCCGTGAGAACGCTGTATCTTAACCACTAGACCACCAAACTAGTCATTAGAGAAATGCAAATCAAAACCACAATGAGATACCACTTCATATCCATTAGAAGAGGTATTAAAAAAAACCTCAGAAAATAACAAGTGTTGGTAAGGACATGGAGAAATTGGAACTCTTGGGCATTGCTGTAGGAAATGTCAACTGGGGCAGCTGCTATGGACAAAAGTATGACAGTTCCCCCCAAAATTAAACATAAAATTACCATATGATCCAGCAATTCCATTTCTGGGTATATACCCCAAAGAACTGAAAGCAGGGATTTGAACAGATATTTGCATACTAATGTTCATAGTAGCATTATTCACAATGGCCAATAGGTAGAAACAACCCAAATATTTACTGACAAATTAAGGGATAAACAAAATGTGGTATATGCACACAATGGAATATTATTCAGTCATAAAAAGGAACGAAATTCTGATATATTCTACAACATAGACGAACCTCGAAGACATTATGTTAAGTGAAATAAGCCAGATACAAAAGGACAAATGTTGTATGATTCCACTTACATGAAGTACCTAGAGTAGTCAGATTCATAGAGACAGAAAGTAGACTAGAGATTACCAGGGGCTGGGGGGAGGGAGGAAGGGGGAATTATTGTTTAATGGGTAGAGAGCTTCTGTTTCAAATGATGAAAAAATTCTGGAAATGCACAGTGGTGATGGTTGCACACAACACTGTGAATATACTTAATGCCACTAGACTGTACACTTAAAATGGCAAATTTTATGTTATGTATATTTTACCACATTAAAAAAAAAATCACACACACAAAAGACTATCCAGTAATTTACCATGTTCCAAGTCTTCCCTTCCTCCAAGAAATAAAAAACATGAAACATGATCAACTTTATCTACTTAGGACAGGATATATTAAAATGGCTTTCCCATAGGATTGAGATTAGAATCCAAATCTCTTGAGTATCCTGAGTCCATAGTCTATTAAAAGCAAATGAGTGCTTGGGTAACTTAAGACTCTAGTAGCTAAATGGACAAATGACACAATCATTCATCAGAGGAAATATACATGGCTAATATTCACATGAAATCACTACTAATTATTATTATTATTATTATTTTTTTGGTGAGGAAGCTTGGTTCTGAGCTAACATCTTTTGCCAATCTTCTTTTTACTTGGGGAAGATTGTCACTGAGGTAACATCTGTGCCAATCTTCTTCTATTTTGTATGTGGGACACTACCACAGCATGGCTTGATGAGCTGTGCATAGGTCCATGCCTGGGATCCAAACCTGTGAACCCTGGGCTGCTGAAGTAGAGCATGCAAACTTAACCACTATGCCAGCAGGCAAGTCCCTGAAATCACTACTAATTATTTTTAATGTTGAATAAAATTTTTTACCCAATTAGTAATTTTTTAAAAATCGTAACAAATCATTTATCCAAATGAGCTATGGATTGCTCATTAAAATGTAAATTCTTATAAACTTTTTTGGAAAGGAATTTGGCAATATGTATCAAAAGTCTTGGGGCCAGCCCAGTGGCACACGATTCAGTTCACACATTCTGCTTCGGCTGCCCGGGATTCGCCAGTTCAGATCCCAGGTACGGACACGGCACCGCTTAGCAAGCCATGCTGTGGTAGGCGTCCCACATATAAAAAAAAAAATAGAGGAAGATGGGCATTGATGTTAGCTTAGTGCCACTCTTCCCCAGCAAAAATAGGAGGATTGGCGGCAGATATTAGCTCAGGGCTAGTCTTCCCCCCACCCAAAAAAAAAAAAAAGCCAAAAAAAATAAAAATCTTAAAAACATTTATATCCCTTAACCCAATAATTACAATTCTTGGTACTAATCCCCTAAAGAAAGAAAAAAAAATCTGACATACAGGCAAAGATTTATGCTCAAGAACTTACAAGAGACCATTATTTATAAAAGCAAAATTTGGATACCACTAAGTGTCCAACAATGACCAAGTAATTAGGTAAATTATGGTCCATTTATCAGAATAAAAGCATCTGTTAAAAAATAAAATTTATTAAGAGTTTTAATATTAACTTTAAAAGTAGGATATAAAGTTATATGTAGGACATGACCTCAACTTTGTAAAACTTTATACACAATTAAAAGATTGAGAAGCAATAAGTAAAATGTTAACCGTGGCTTTTCTCTATGAGGTCGCTATTTTCTTTTTTATACTTTCCTATATTTTTAAACCTTTTTCACAATGGGCACACAGTACTTTTAAAATCAGGGGGGAAACACTTAAAGAACAAAAAAGAAATTTCTTAAAAGGCCTAACAATTTTTTCTCCCCTTTAAAATTTAAACAAATAGAAAGATTAGAGGACATACGTCTCCTCCCTTTCCCTAGTCAAACGTTATTTCTCCAACCCTTTTGCTCAGTCAAGCCAGCTTAGAAAAACTGAAAGGGTCATAAATCCAGACCTGCTATCCTATACCTCACAACACTTCAGCTGACCCTTGATGACAATGTCCAGTGACTCACCAGTAGAGAAAGCGGAGACATATAAGGCCCCTCTGGTCTCTTTCGAAACTTCAGGTTCCTGGGTGCCCACCACTCTAAAAGCCTCGAAGTGTTGTTTTCCTGCATAAGAAAAACTACATTTGCTGGAGGAAGAGAAGTGCTGGCAGGCCCTGGTAAAAACATTTCATCTGGTGAAGCCATGAATAGCCCTCATGAAACACATTAAAGGTAATCAAGGTTGACCCTATATCCTGAGGATATAAATTATGCTTTGGATTTGATGTACAGTATGTAGATTTGCTTTAGAGGATGCTAACTTTATGATTAAAGCAAAAGGAATAGAGGAAAAAAAGAGCTGACTGGGGACAGGATGGTGAGATTTTTAAAAAGTGATTTTAAAGGGAGGTTAGAAGGACAGTATTAAATCAAGAAAAAGCTGATTAGAACAGCCAAAAACATAGGCATAACTTAGTCAATGTGAGAAAAGAAGAACAGCAGCTATCCTTTATAGATATTGACTTGGGAGAAAGGGTGGAAGGCAGGGACGAGAAAAAGATGGCTAGAAAAGGGGATCAGTTGAAGGGATTAGTTAGAGAATTATCTTAATGATTAGGTGGCTCTGAAGGAGGCCCTGAGGCTTAGACAAAAAGGTCCATGGCTTTCTTAGAACAGGGGCTAAGAAACTAAGAGGGAAATAAAAAGAAATTAAGAAATCCAGACTTGTATGTGAAACCATGCAAAAAGTATGTGAACAAGTTACGTACATTATCTCTCTCTCTTTAAAAAAAAAAAGAGAGAATTTATCTCTAAATTCCTAATACTACAGTACTAGAGATTTTTGTCCTTAAACCAATCAACTGAACATGAGTAATAATGGCCTGCTGTGGAAGACTTGGAGGTAGGTTTTTATCCTAGGGTCAAACTTTAAAGAGAAAAAAACAAAACATACCATAAAGAATTTTTTTCCTATAGTGATGCAGTTTGTTTGTCTAGCGAACTGAGGCATACACAGCTCTAGGTCTCATAATGATACTGATGAGTTGCTCCACTCAAAGAAAGAAAACTGCTAACGTATCTAGGTTTCCATTAAACACTCACATTTTCCTTATTTGTGGATGAGCTACATATCACATCTTTCTTCTTCTTGCTGTGGTCCAAGGCATTTGGAGTGCTACAAAGCAGCTGTGCCTACAAGAGACCATTTTTTGAGAACATCTAGCATCTTCAAGCCACAGCTGAGCTGGAAAGCCTCTGCATCCCACCTGAGAAACAAACCCCACCCAAGAAAGAAGGGCTACTTACTGGGCTGCATTTTATAACGTTCTGGTGATGATTCCTATAGATCAAAAGAACTGCAGTTAGTTAAGCCCCAAATACTGTTTGGTTATTCTTCAGTGGCTCGGGGCATCCCAACTTTTCCTTTCTTCCATTCTAGGAGTCCTATATCTAGTTACGTCTCCTCCGATAACAATACATAGGGTGCTCTCTGTGGTAAATATCAAGACATTAAGTGACATAACTATATATATATACACACGCATCAAAGATGATGAGTTTGTCCTATATCTTATGTAGACAAATTAAACAATTTAATAATTTTCCAGCATTGACTATTGGGAGCTAATATTTACTTTTTATGAATTTCTATCCTCCCTCCCAGGATTTTATCCAGTCTACATGGGTTAAGACATTTTAAGCAATTCAAAGAAAATACAAGCAATACAAAGTGAAATTTTCACATGTATTGATAAAAATAGTCATGGAAAGCCTTCCCTCGTGCACCAATGTAGCACCTAATTCACCTCAGCATCGAAGGATAAAGTTCTAAAAAGATTAACACAGTCAAATGGAAAACTTACAATGAGTTTAATAAGTTAAGAAGTTGAATTAAAATTACTTTTCATTCCTCGAGTATTCTCTGATTGAACATTTTAAGATCTTCAACAAAGAATCCTCATGAGTAATAATAACAAATATTATTAAATGCTTGGTATGTTCTAAGGATTAAATTTCCCTACAATGGCTGTTTATCAGAAGTGTTATTATTATTTTTTTAAGATTTTATTTTTTTCCTTTTTCTCCCCAAAGCCCCCTGGTACATAGTTGTATATTCTTTGTTGTGGGTCCTTCTAGTTGTGGCATGTGGGACGCTGCCTCAGCGTGGCTTGATGAGCTGTACCATGTCCGCACTCAGGATTCGAACCAACGAAACACTGGGCCACCTGCAGCAGAGCGCGCAAACTTGACCACTCGGCCGCGGGGCCAGCCCCCTAAGATATTTTTTAAAATTTTTTTCCTTTTTCTCCCCAAAGCCCCCCAGTACAGAGTTGTATATTCTTAGTTGTGAGTCCTTCTAGTTGTGGCATGTGGGATGCTGCCTCAGCGTGGCATGATGAGCGGTGCCATGTCCACGTCCAGGATTCGAACTGATGAAACACTGGGCCGCTGCAGCAGAGTGCACGAACTTAACCACTTGGCCACGGGGCTGGCCCCAGAAGTGTTATTATTATCTCTTTATTATTACTTCTTTATCATGAACAAAGAAACTGAGGTCCCATGAAGTTAACAGACTTGTCAGAGCCACAGTTGGTGAAGCAGTAAGCCACTGGAATCCAGACTCTCTGATTCCAGAGCCTACACTCTGCACTTTTAACCACTAAGATATAGCACTACTCACATGCAGATAACAGACTATGCCTAAGTGCAGTATTCCATTTTCCTCCATTTTTAAAGATAATACTGATTTATGTGATGGTTAAAATGAGTAGCCTTCATTTTCACAACACTATTCAGACCCAGGAAACTTAAAAACCTTTCAAGGGAAGGATCTAGGCCTTCAGGCCCACTTATACCCAAAGTGACACATTCTATACTCTGCATAGTCTAAATAGGATAAAATCCCCGTGTCAGTATTCAGCATGGGGTTCATTTAGCCAAAGAACTTACATCGCAGATAATTGTATCCCCTGAGGTCCTGAAGAATTCAAGTGACCTGCAAACAGATATGAAGAGTTATTCTTGTCCATGTATCTTGTCTTTCCTTCTGATATCTTCATTACCAGTAAGTCATATTAATTTCAAAAGCTGACCTTTTGAACACAAAGTCTCTTGATAGGTACCAATTTCATGGTACAAGGTAGCAGGGTACAAGGTACAAGTTCGTGGAAATTTAAGAATTTACACGTGTCACTGAAAGAAGAAAAGTTAGGAAGCAGTACACTATGTTAACCTACAGAGATTTTTTTCATGAGTAGAAAAGAAAGCTTACCACTCAGTAAATCTAAAATTAGAACAAATACTAAAATGGTTGACTAATAAAACATATTCCTTTCAGGCACAGGCCTTATAAAAACACATAAGAATTAGTTAACAAATTTTTCTTTCTTTTTTTTTTTTTGAGGAAGATTAGACCTGAGCTAACTGCTGCCAATCCTCCTCTTTTTGCTGAGGAAGACTGGCCCTGAGCTAACATCGGTGCCCATCTTCCTCTACTTTATATGTGGGATGCCTACCACAGCATGGCTTGCCACGTGGCGCCATGTCTGCACCCGGGATCCGAACCAGCAAACCCCAGGCAGCCCAAGCGGAATGTGCGCACTTAATTGCTGCATCACCTGCTGACCCCAAAGTTTTTCTGTATGTGGGTTTCTTTGCCTCTGCTGAGATTAGACTAGGGCATAAAACTCATCTTAACTACTACTTTCATTCTCACAATCAATCAGTCAACACATATTCCTTCCTGTCTAACTTTTCAAATGCAAAGCGGCTCCTATTAGTGTGATCTTTCTCTTCCCATTGGTTTAATCATTCTCCTCAAAAATCTTCTGGGTACCCAAAAAATTCCAACTTCAAGGCTCGCTACCTATCTTTATCACCTTCCATCTCTATCCTTCTACCCTGCCCTCCCCCTTAAAAGTTATTCTTTCCCTTGAGGCCTTTACCTCCCTTCTCCCTACCAGTTTCATCATGGTCTGCAGAAGTGGTAAGCTGAGTGGCAGACATCTCTCCACTGCTAAGATTCGAAAGATCAAGGCAACATTTTGGGGTTCCTCTGTTGAGACAATAATACATTAAGATTCCCATTAAGTTGTAATATCCTTAAAAGACAAAGATCGTGTTATCCTCTTGTTTTGAAACACCTCTCAATGACTATCACATAATCTGAACAGTGTCCAAATAAATCTAATTGCTTTTGGAAATATCTCAGACTAGGATGAGAAAATTCTCTTACCTTTTCTCTACTCCAATAATCTGTACCTCATTTTCTCCTCACCCACATATTGAGACAAGATAATTTTTTAAATTAAGAACCAAAGTTCATTGGCCAAGATAGGTCTTGACCCCACATCTTCTGCCCTTGTGCACCATGAGTACATAAATTTGATTTCTCCCTGCAATCTTTAGTACTTCTCAGGTCCATAACTCTGCAACTTTGTTTGCTAGCTGAGGCATCAGGGCATGACCAAAATTTAAAGTACAATAACAGTAACACTAATATTGATACCACTAAAGTGACCAACTCACACAATGCAAGAGTATTCAAAGACTTTTCCCAGACATCACATCATTTGATTCTCGCAAGATTCTCATAAGATAGGATAGTATTATTATTTCTATGTCACAGAAAAGAAGCCTGAGACTCAAAAGGGTCACATAGTTAGTCAAGGGCAGAGCTGAGACTTAAACTGTCATCTTTGAGCCCGCATAGTTAAAAACAAAAACAAAACCTAAAACTGTTTAGAAAAGCAAAGGAGATAAGGTCTGAAAAGAAAAGCTTTACCCAGACAAAATGCTTAGGTGTCCAGAATCACCAAAGAGTTTGTCCACTGGCGTTCTAGGGAGATCTGGACAGACGGTAAAGGAAGTGTCTCTCTCCAGGAGCAGGTTTAATATCTTCCTCTGATTGGATCTAAAACTAGGTCCTGAGCCAGGGCTTCCTGGCTCTCTCGTGAATGAGAAGAGTTCTGCAGACATGGTCTCCGAGCTCTCACTAAGAAAAACAATAAAACCTAGCTAAGAGGCGAACGTCGTCTATATTGTCTAGCTGTCACAGCCTCCCCCACCCTTCCCAGCAGCGGCGAGCGGATCGGTATCGCAGGAGGGGCATCCCCAAACCGTGAATCACAACTTGGCTTGATGGTTAAATCGCACTTGCCCGAAGCGGCTTGGCCTTTTCGTCGGGACCTGAATTTACCGAGAGGCAATCTCAGGACCTTAAAGAGGGAAAAAACCCTTTGGTTCCGGGCCACACAGCTCGTGACTCCTGACCGGAAGGAATTCACCTCTCCTAACTCGTGATAATGCCTATTAGGTCTTCCGAACTTCCGTTTGCCGGGCCCGGACCGGACCCTGAGGGACCATGGGGTCTCGGCGATTCTGCAGCGGAGACGACTCCGGGCTAACCTCAGGTTTGAGTCTGAGACCTACCTTCAGGAGAAAGGGAGTGGATGGGGATCAGACACAAGTGAAGACTGGAGCAGAAGTAAAGGAAATCTGGAGAAAGGAAGCGATTAACCAGGCTACAATTCTGCTTCTCGACTGGATAGGCCAGGGTCAGGATTTGCCGCTTCTCTCCGCATAGAGTCGAAGTTACAGCTTGCGTGCGAGGATATCAACTGCCACAGACCTTGACCATTCAAACCTTCCGCCCTCCCAATAACCTATCCCGCTCGCCTCTAAACTGCGTCAGCCAATCTCCGCGCGTCCGCCCAGACCCCCTCGGCCAATCGTTTGTCTCGTACATCACCCGGGGGCGTGAGTTTTCTCGGGCAGGAGCACTATTTGCCCCGCCCCGCAGCCAGAGTCGGATGCCGATTGGCGCACCAGCGTTCAGCGAGCGACTAGGTAAGCCCCGCCCCACAGGGAGCCTGGCGTACCATTGGCTCTCCCTCTAGCCAATCGCCACACCCTTTCTGAGCTCTCCTTTCCCTCTGCTCGTCCAACCCCGGGAGATTTAAATTGCACCTGGCCAGCGACGACCACTGGTTAGGATAAGACCTGGAGACGTTTGTTTACTTGGGTGTTTTAAACATTTCTTTTTCCTTGCTTTTTTCTCTTGTCGTTAAGTGGACCTTTCCCTCTTAATTTTGCTAGCCTTCCGCTGGAGATGGAACATTTGCTCCTGGTGTGGCAGACGTTGGGGCGAGACAGGTGTGCGTATTTATGCTGAGGGGCATTGGCCCCTTCCAAGAGCTTTCCTTGTTCGGTGTTCCTTTGAGAGCGCAGCATCTCAGAGACGCTAGGTTATGTGGGGTAAAGGAAATTCATTTTTCAGGGAAAGTAGGGGAGTTGAATCATCCCTTGGCATAATCCTTATCACAGTCCCAAGGATCCCAAACTTTGGTTGTTTTTGGAAATTTGCACTAGGTGATATTAAGAACTTAATTTTGGAGTTTTGCTTTTAAATAATCCTGTGGAAGTGGTGGTGGGTATAAATGAAACAAAATTGGCCATGAGTATTGAGTGATGGGGAACTGGGCATCCATTATATCAGTGCTCTCAAAGTTTAATGTGCATACTAATCACCTCGGGATCTCGTTAAAATGCAGATTCTGACTCAGTAGGTCTGGGTTAGGGCCCAAGAGTTTGCACTTCTAACAAGCTCCCAGCCGATGCTGATGTGGCTGGTTCTGGGACCATACCTTGAGTAGCAAAGCATAATGTTATTCTCTTCTCTGTATATTTGATATTTTCCGTAATAAAAAATGTTTAAAATAACCTTGGAAGCTCTTTAAAATGCAGGCCCCCAAAATAATTCAATAGGTCTAGAGTGGGGCCTAGGAATTCTCAAGGCCTCCAGGAGCTACCCATGCAGATGGCTTGCAGATCTCACTTTAAGAAACAAATCAGAAATGCAGCCTTTATCTTTGAGAAACAGTAAATCAGAAATACAACCTTTATCTGGTGGTAGGATCTTGGTGGTGGTAGTGGCTGAGAGGTGCAGTGTAGTCAGCTGGGTTTTACCCTTTTCATCTGTAGAATCTGCTTCCCCTGAAAGAAGGTGTGTGAAGAATCTTTGTCTCTAAGATAGAGATGGTGAGTGTGGGAGTCAGCACAGAGTCCTGCCATGCCAGGTGAGTTCAAAAATCAGGCTAGGGATTATGGGAGTGTGGGATGAGTTGGTTTCTGCTTTGATGACTATAATCACACTTCATGGGACCACTGTATACTTCCTCGCAGGTGGGAAGTAGAGACAGATGAAACTGTCCTACAACGGCGGCAAAAGCAGATAGATTATGGCAAACGCACGCCTGGTTACCAGTGCTTTCTGCAGCAGGTCCCCAAGTGAGTACAGTTGTAAGTGGTCATAACAAGAGCATCAACCAAGTGGCTTTAGTTCAGTGTCGGGTGATGGAAAGATACTAGAATCTGAGTGTTCTCACCAAGTTGGAGCATTACTAAAACTAATTCTCCTGCAATCTAATCTCCAAAATGAGTTTCCAAGATTTTTTTCAAATAGAACAAGTCATACTTGGCCCATAAGACTTTTTAAAGCTCTACCATGCTTGCTATTGAAGTTTTTTCCTTCCAACCATTTTTATCTCATGCCTCCAGCTGACTTGGCTAACTGCAACATATTTGCCTAATTACATGTACGTTTACATGCATACCTTCAAACCAAATGTATGAACGCGTAGAATGCATTTTAAAGGGATATCAGATACTATCTTCTTTTATATCTATTTTGACTTCTGAGGGAGTTGGAATATCTAATTTATCCTTCCCAGAAGAAAGAATATTAGCAAGTTAGGAAGTTTGGTGTTTAATCTGATTTGATTTGTTTTTTCTGTTGGATTGACAGCATTGATCCTACCTCATTCTCAGGGAATTCCCTAACGAGTCTCCTGATTCATTGTGATAAAGCAGTGAGTTGTGCCCCTCACCTTGACCTCAGTCTAACACATATTTGTCATTGCCAGAGCACAGCGACAGCCAGGACTTCACCCTCAAACGCCAAACAAGAACAGGAGATACAGCCGTCGCTCCTGGGATGCCCAGATCAGGCAGTGGAGAAGAGCTCTACATTCCTGGGACCCCCCCAGCCAGCCTCTGCAGGGCAGGGGGGCTGAGGGGTGTGTACACTATTCCTAGTTCCTGCTGTGAGTGGTGGACTGAACCCTACCTCTCCCCACTTCGCAGAGGTTTAGCTTTCGCTGGTTGAAAAGGGGGTCTAAATGAGGTACATGTTCCTCTGACTCTGCTGCCTTCCTAGGCAGGGAATGGAGAGTCTCTTAAAGCCAATGGATTCCACCCCTTTGGATGACCTACTGGATGACTGGCTTCAGACCCTGGAACACTCGGAGAATCTTGACGGAGGCCAGGAGGGAACCCAGGCAGTATCCTCTGCTGAAACCCATTAGAGCAGGGTCAGAGAGGGGTCTGGCCCATGAGGTCACAATGAAGATGGGGTTCAAGGTAGTAGCCCAAGAACAAAAGAAGGAAAATGGGGCAGCAGGAACAAATAGGATGTGAGTAAAAAAACCTTGAGAACTAAAAGTGGCATAAGGAGATTTAATTATAGTTAGTAATGGGGGGGGGTTGGGCTGCACTAGGGGCTATTTTATATTTGATGAAAGGGGTGTAATCGTTCTTTGAAATGAGGCCTGAAACCTGACTTACAGGTTTGCTTTTTTTTTAACTGTCTCAGTTTCTTTCAATGTTTTGCAAATGGAGCCACTGCTAACTTCTTATACTCCATCATTTAACTTTAGTAAGCATGGTTAATAATAAAAAGGGGGATCAGCGAGTGGTGAAAACCGAGGGCTTTAGAGCCTTAAACTGCTTTGTAATACTACCTTTGCCTACCACATGGGCAGTCATTTAACCTCTCTAGCCATTTCATCTATCAAATAACGAGATTTTGCTTCACTCGATGATTGTAAGCAAAAATGAGTATACATATTTAAAGTATGTAGCACAGTGCCTGGCACATAAGTGATGCACAACAGCAATTATTGGAAACCATGTCTCCTATAGTTCATGGTCCCTGCCCCTGCTCCTTCTTTTGCCAAAGGGCAAGATGCAGAGCAAGGAAATGTGCAGTGCATCTTCCCTCCACCCCCATTTTCTTCCTAAGTACCTCCCTTTCCCTTTACTCTTATTTTTCAGTTTGCAGACCTGGTGGCTCCTGCTTCCTCCCTTCCCTGGCTCTATGAGGAAGATCCCCACCACTGCCTCTACTTTCTAGTTTATCATAGTTACTTATCTGTCCCAGACTTGAGTGGGGAACAAAATATTTAGGGAAAACCGATGTCTTTCAGGGGACTTGTTGCTAAGTATAATAGTGAAGATTATTTGCATTACTGCTACTTTCCAATAGATTAAAAAAGAAATCTAAAACTCTGCCCTACAAAGAGATCACAACACGAAGCCATTGTTTAAAACCTCTCCTTTTTCCATCTTTTTGCCCGTCTCTCTAAACCTTTGATAGCTGAGACTTGAGTTTACATAACAGCCAGAAACCATCTAGCTGTTCCCCAACCTCTTCGCCTTCTAACGTCTACATTCGGTCTCTTTCAAAAGGACTTAAACTTTGGCTGAGGTGGGAGGTGGTAGTGGTGGAGATTTAATAAAAGGTAGTTTCTTCTTCCTGAAGAGGAAATGTAGCGCCATCAACATCTTTACCTCATCTGCGTGTTTTCTCCCTCCCTTTCTGTCTTAACGAAAAAGGTCCAGCTGTAACCACCGTATTCCCCGCCCCCGCCCCCCCCCATGCAAGCAACTGAACCGCCTATGATGTCATAATCACAATCCCATTACCTCATCCTGCTGGGGGGGGGGAGGTGCGTAGAGGGAGGAGAAGGAGTGAACAGCCTTGAGCCCTCCTCAGTTTTACAAAGTGTTTTGGGTAGGGGCTAATTACAGAACCAAGTAGGAACGGCCCCGCGACCGTTATAAATCCCGGGTTTATAAGGTTCGAGCCGATCCGGCAGCTGGAAGAGGGGCTCCTGGGACTCAGAGCAGGCCTTAGTCGGCTCTTGGACTACACTTCCCAGAAGCCTTCACGCCGCGGACGGGTCCTCTGCCAGGGGTAGGGGGATTCCTTCAGTAAGACGGCCGTAGAGTGCGGGAAAGGAGAGCAGGTGAGAGGAACCTTGGTCAATGCTGTTATGCTACCCGAGCCGAGTAGAGTGCTGTACTTGGGCCCAGGTAGGAATGGAGGGCGGGGGCGATGGCTTTGTTTACCTTCGTCCGACACGGCCTCCCCCGCGGGTTTCGAGATATGCCTCCAACTGGGCCCGTCCACCTTCTGCAATATTTTGGAGGGGGTGACACGATAGTGAGGAAGCCACCCTCATCCCTAAATCAAAGAGCTGGGCTCGTTCCCGACAGCGCTATCCAAGAAAGACTTTGAGAGAGAAACGGCGCCGGGCTGGAGCCTCCGCGGGCGGTTCAGGGGGATTCTGTGAACCGAAGCGATCCCCCACACTCCTGAGGGGCCCGTTGGTTCGCGCCGGCGCCTTTTAAGGGCACCGTGGGGCGAAAGGAGCGCTCAGAGCTGCTCCGGCCGCGGCCCTGGGAGCTGGAGGAGCCGCGGTAGGTGGCGGAGGGCAGGTGGCGCTGGGGCCTCGGGGCGGGCACCTCAACCGTCCCTCCCTCCTTCCCCCTTTCCCCTCCCCCAGCCCGGCCGCCCGCGCGGTACGGCTTCGCTGGCCGCCTCCGCGGGGAGAGCACGGGACCCGGTGGGGGAGGGGGTGGCGGAGTGCTAAGTCCCAGACCCTCTCCATCCCCTTGCGTCTTGAGTTCGCTTCCCGCGGCCAGATGATGGAAGCTGATTGGGAAGAGGCGAGCGACAGCCCCCCTGAGCGAGCCCTGGCGCCCCCCCACCAGGGGCCAGCGGACCCCCCATGCCCCACCCCGCGGGGACAGGCAGGGCAACCTAGGGAGAGGTTGAAGATTGGTGGGGGGCCTAGCTTTTGCTTCTTCATCGAGGTGGGGGGGAGGGGTGCTCCTCACTGTCACCCCTTTCCCCACCAGAGCCATATGGAGGAAGAGCAGTCAGATCCCCACTTACCTGTTCATGCACCTCCCTGCCTCCCTCATGTTTTCTTTCAGTCTCCCCCAGAGGTCTGGGACTGGGACCTGGGGGGAAGGTCCCTAGGGGATTTGTGACTCTCCTCTCCTTTGGCCTGACTTGATCCTAGGTTCTCCAGGTTTCAACACAACCTCAGCATCCCTGAAACCCGAATGTCAGGGGTTACTGCCATCCAATAGGAGATGGGGTGGGAGTCCAGTCTTTATTTTAGGGGGCTAATGGTGGAGAGAAAGCCTGGATTGAGAGTTGGGCCTGGTGGGGTTTTGGGCAGGGTCTAGGCCTGCTGCTCTGTGAAGGACTGAGCCCCGTGCCAGTTGTTAAGCTGAGAAGTTTTAACTTGTTTAGTGAATGTTCAGGGCCGTCTCTGCCCCTCAGATATACAAAATGGAAGGGGAAGGAAGGCGGCAAGAGAGAGCTTCTTACACTTTTTTCTATGCCTGCCTGAGAAAGAGGAGGCCCCTCGCGGAGCTGGTTTGCCTTCTTTTGTGTCCTGGTTTGATTCCTTATGGCTTCCGTTCTGTTCCCCCTCTCTGCCTGGCCTGTTTTAGGAAACTCAGGCTGAGAGTATCAGTTGCGTGGTGGTAGTTGCATTGTTCCAATTACCGCCGTGTGTGGCCACATCCCAACAATTAAAATGCAGAAAAACACAAAATCACTCTCTTCGCTTGATCCCAGAGAGAGCTGGGAGTTTGCTGTTTGGCCAAATGCCTCATGAAAAGCTTGAAAGAGTTTGCTTCACTCCCTGCTCCTCATGGCTGGTCAGCCTGAGGCCTGAGGTCTCTGGGATAAAAGTGTGCAGTTAGGTTCCCTCTCTACTTGATCTTTGAGGGTAAAGTTAAGAAACCAAGAGCAGAAGTGATATAAGGTTTAGCTTCTCCCTCAAGAACATAGGGGAAGCAGTTGAAGGGAGCTTTCAGGAAGCTGGAACTTCGTTCAGGGTGGTAATAATAATTATGCATGAAAATGATAGTTAACTAGAATGATGATTGGCTTCTCACACCTTTCTTCCAAAAAACTCCAAGTACATCCACGTGTATTTCTTTGCTCTTCCTTGTGGCGTGCCTCCCTCTGAAGTGGCAATGGGGTAGAGATGATTCCCTCCTTTTTGCAAAAATAGAAAGTGATCTGCCCCCAAGGTCACAGAAGAGCCCTTTTGGGCTTCTCTTGGTATGCAGATGAGGAAGGTTGGCATCCAGCCAAATAGATAAACTTGATCTTAATGATATCATCACTTGTGGCATTCTGAGGCTTCATAGAGCAACAAACAGGAGGATTGAGAAACAGCAGTCTATGTGGACTCCTGATTTGTACAGATCAGACGGTATGCTTTTTACATTTTAATATTTCATGTTGTATTGTCCCTGTGACAGATTAAGATTATTCTGCCCATTTTACTTATGGGTAAACTGAGGTCAAGAAAGGTTAAATGATTTGACAAAACTGTCACAGCAAATAAGATCAAGATTTAGATTTCTTGATAGTTCTCTCTACTAGCAAATGCTACATACATTCTCTGATCAGGTGTCTGCTTGGTGGTCATTTCTGGGAATAGGCAGTACAGTATCAAAACACTGCGTTAAGCTCCCCTTTTCCCTTGAGCAAGGCCCCTCAAGCAGTTGTGTGGGCTTGAAGCCTGTTTTCTGAATTAGTTTGCTTCTACTGAAACTGACTGTGAGAGTCTAGATTAATTGTGTCCGTGGTCTTTGAGTCAGATCCGGCTAAAAACTTAGTTGAATGAAGTCATAGAGTAGTTGTTTTTAACATCTATAGAGTTGAAATGTAATTGGAATTACCCTGGGACCATTTCCTTATCCTCTCACCAAAGGTTGTATACTCTATATTGTTCTGATTGGTCTGAAGAAGAAAGTCATTCCTACAACCACTGCTCTTCCCTGATACCTATTACTATTTCTGTTGTTTAGGAAAAGGGTACCTCTGTTTGCTTGTGCCTAGAGGATAAAGAAAATATTGGGCTAATCAGGATAGAAATAACCATTGGGAATCCCTCTCATTTGAGCTGTTTTTGAAGTGGTGCTGGTATTCTGGGTAGACAGAGCAGAGCATGAACCAGTTAGGAACGGCAAATAGGTTTCAACTTGCTTGCTAACTCCAGTTCATTTTACTGGTTATCTGGAGTGCCAAGTTCAGGATGTTTCTGAGGCTATGTTTAGGCTTAGCAGGAGAGAGCTGTGATCAATTAATGATGTCTGCCAGAGGCCTGGCTTAGGGATGCTGTGGTATGTGCCATGCATTTTCCATCTCTGGACCAGGTACATCTCTAATATCACTTGGGGCTGGTCCCTCTGTAATTGGCAGACTCAGCAGGCATGACTGGAGAGGGAAGTCCCAATGGTGCTAGAATGGTGCTGCAGTGGCAGAAGACGGCTCACGAGTGAGGTCTGGAAGAACGACAGGGAAGACATCCATCATTTGCTCCAAAGTGTGCAAGTCAAATCCTGGGGAGAATCATGATAACCCTGATCACTGAGCAGCTACAGAAGCAGACTCTGGATGAGCTGAAATGCACACGCTTCAGCATCAGTCTGGTAAAAGACCAGTCTTTCTGCTTCTCCACGACCCCCTCCCCCTTTTTTCTGAGGCTGTTTGTTGCTAATACTTCACCCTCGTCCTGTGCTGTTATGAGTCATGGTACTTGTACTGGAAGAACCCAATAAAGGCTCAAAACCCAGCCCAAAAGGAAGGGGGCAGGAATTTTAGAGAAAGGACAGCAAATCTTGGGTGGAGAAGGGTTTGAGATGTTGGAAGATGTGGATTATTTTACTTGCTAACTTTGGAAAGACAAGAAGAGAATACTTAGGAGTCCCTAACATCCTTATAGCCCATGGTTTGCAGGGGTGAGCTGAAGAGGGCTTCCTAGAAATCTGTGTGCTGAACCTGAATCATGATGGCTATTCTCTCTCCCTTAGCCTTTGCCTGATCATGCAGACATCTCCAATTGTGGGAACCCTTTCCAGCTTGTGTCTGGTAAGGCATTGTGTGTGCATGTGTGTATGCCCATCCTCCATCCACACATTTCTTTCATTGGTTTACAGTGACCAGGGCTAGCTAGCCTACATCCACAACTTTGTTGCCAGGGTCACCTTCTGAGATTGGAACTTGTCTCCATTTTACTGCACCAGCATGGAATTTATCTGTTTAGTTTGCTCTTATTCTAGCCTTGTGGGGACTTTTGTCATCTAATTTTTTTGAATAGGTAATACATTCGGATGGTTCAAAAATTTTAAAATAGCAGTAAGTTATACTGAGAAAAGTCTCCCTTCTCCTGTCCACCCAGCTCCCACCACCTCCCTAAAAGTACCTCCTATTATTAGTTTCTTGTCTATCCAACCAGAGTGTCTTTATATAAATAGAAGCACATTTAAATGTATATTTTTTATTCTTACTCTTTTAACACAAAAGGTTGTATACTCTATATGTTATTTGGTACTTTTTCTTCTACTTAATATAGCTAGATCTTTCATATAAGTGTGTTGTGTTGAGCGTTTCCTTGTGGGTGGCCAGACGCAAAGGAACACGAGCAATCCTAGGGTTTCCGAAGCACAGGTGCCA